CCCCCCGCGCCTTGCCTCCCCCCCGGGAGCCACTCCAGGTAAGTGGCGCCAAGCCAGAGCCTGCACCCCAACCCCCTCCTGCACCCCAACCCCCTCCTGCACCTCAACCCCCTGCCCTGAGCCCCCTCCTGCACACTGCACCCCATCCTGCACCCCAACCTCCTGTCCCAGCCCTACATTCATGGCCCTGCATGCAATTTCCCCACCCAGGTGTGGCCCTGGGGCCAAAAAGTTTGCCTACCCCTGTGGGTACTAGCCCTCCAGCATGAGGTGGATGGAAGAGTGACCTTCAGCTCTTTGCCAGGAGTTTGCAAAAAATTTCTGGTTTCGAGTGGAAGCCGTTACTGAGCATTCAGGGCACCAATGGAGCTCCCACTAGTCAGTTGGTGTCCCAAGGTAAGTCAGAGGAAGGTGGGTCAGAGAGGCTGAACAGCCATAGCTCCCAAAATAGCAAAGGTTCAGGACCTCCAGGATACAGCTCATAATCCTTTCAGTATTTTCCCCTGTGTACCTCTATTTGCGTTCTAGGCCTGTCAGCATCATCTGGAGTTAGAGCGTTATCACTCTAGGGCATATGCTTAAGTTTTGGAGAGAGACAGCAGTTAAGGGAACATGCACAAGCTTCTTTCACTTGTTCATCTAAAAATGGAGTGGAAGGTGTGGAAAGATCCAACAGGGTGCAGAGACTCACCATGAAATTTCTTGTCCAGGATCATCTGTGACAGTTTCCTTTCCACATCAGCCTGAAATTGTAATAGAAATAATCTCTTGAAGCTAACTGAAGAGCAGTGGATTTTACTACCCTCAACCCACAGACGTGGCAGGATATAAAGATAAATGCCTCCAAGCAACATTTCAGCATTTGTTATTGAATCTCTTTGCAAGTCAGATCTCACATACAGACTAGCTTGCAATTACAGTCAGTCAATTTTAGGCAAAGCAGGATATCAGAGCAACCATGACCAGGAACCACCTTTTAATGATCAGAGTTCTCAAGTGACCTATTGCCTTTTCGTGAAATACAGTACAATCTTCATTTCATACCTACTGGAATCAGCAGGGGATTTGGAGCATTCCTGCTTGACTCAGCAAGCATCTAGTTAGCTAAGCTTCACCATGCATCAGTCTTTGATGACCTGCTACAGCCAGCAAGTGGCCCATTGGGAGTCAGGCCTTTGTTCTCCACTCTCTGCTATGTTAGTAGAACTCACAATTAAGGAATGTTTGTGCTCCCAGTGTGCGCTAGTGCCCAAGGGCTGAGTTACAGAGCGCACCATTTGGAAACGAGGCTGTATGGTGGAAGCAAGCACGTGGCCATGAGTAAGATACTCTCCATCACCTGACATGGCAGCTCTGAGTTTAGAGCCTCTCGGACAGTTTGGGGCAAGGGCATTTCTGGGTGCTCTTGAGAGCAAGACTTAAGACTTACACCAACTGAGATGTTGCTGAGAGAGTCTCCTTTTATGCACCACGGGAAGTTAACAGAGTGGGGATCTATACAGTCATTGTGCCAAGTTCATCCCTGGTGAAACTCCAGTCAAGGGAACAACTTGTTTGACCCACTACCTTTTAAGAGCTTTTCAAGTCAAATCAAGGACCTTTCTAGAAGGCTTTGGCCCAGCTGCTCCATGACAGTTATCCCCTGGACTGCCATTTGGATTAAAAAGGGCTACGCTGGATTCAGTGAGGGGTTAGAACATGGAAAATTCTACAGCACTTATAGGGAAGCTCCTTCAGACTCTTCAAACGTAGAAGAGTCAGCAAGTGGTGGGAGTGGCAGGGGCAGGCCCTGGGGCCAGAAGGAGGGTTTTGTAGGGAAGCCCATCTCTCCCTAAGCAAAAGATACACTGCAAGCATCTTATATGAACCCCTGCCCTCAAGGGGGTGTGTGACGGGGTGTACCAGGCCCTTTGAGGCCCCTTGCAGCCAATCAGAGCCCAGAAAGCGCAGATAAAAGCAGCTTCAGGGCCTGAGCAGGACAGTTCCCGACTGGGGCCAAAGGTGCAAGGAAGGGTGTCCACGCTGGCCAAAGGGAGCTTGATGGGCTGCATTAGTTGAACCTGGGAACAGGAGGACCTGAGGACTCTTGCCCTAAGGTAACAGACAGAGGTTAAGATGCCAGGTGGGAAGGGAACTAGGGAATGTAGCAGCAACCAAGTTAAGGAAGGAGTACATGGCTGCTACCTAAAGGGTCCCTGGGTTGGGACCCGGAGCAGTGGGTGGGCCCAGATTCCCTCACTGGCCACTGGGGAAGTGGCCTAAGCCCCGAGGAGGGGATATGCCTCATTCAGAAGCTCAAGCAGAGGGCTGGAATTGAAAGGGCTCTGGTAAGGGCAGGCAGACTGACTGACTGGTGATCTCTTTGTTATATTTCCCCGCCCCGGGGATTGAACTTGAGAGATGACCTGGCTGGACAGCTGGGGCAGTGAGAATCAGTGAAGACAAAGTCTCCAGGAAGAAAGTCCTGGGGCAGCGCTCTATAACAGGGCAGGGAAGAACTTAAAGTTAGGCCAGAAGAGCCTGAGAACCGAGCCCAGAGACAGGGCTGAAGACACTACCAAGGGCGCAACGACAGTCCTGGCTGGACCTCTGTTACCCCGGAAAGGGCTCATTCATGCCTACTGCCTGTGAGAGACCTGGCCGGTGGGCTGAGTTCTAGCGAGGTCGGCAGCCTACAGAGGGCCCAGGAGCAAACGAATAGAGGTGAGTGCACCCAACACAGGAGGGATTTCCCAACAGTGGCATTTGCTCTAGTTGTGGTGCAGCTGCCCACGCCTGGAGGTTTAATGCACTGAGTTATTTCATGGTGGTCATTTGACCCCTCGGTCTCTTTGCCCTCCTTACTAAACCATCCCACAGATTTCTAGCCATGTTCTTACCTTTGAGAGCTTGATGAGGCTGGATATGTGTTCCATCTATAAAGGGAGAGAAAGACCAATACAGATACAGGAAGTCAAGCTTTAGTTTTGCTTTTACGGCAGAACAACAAGGTACGGGTTCTTTCTACATGCCAACTCAATACTCCAGCCATCTACCGCAGATGGGTTCCTTTGCTTCATCTCATTTAGACTTCAGACCACAATACAATTCGAATTGAAGGTGGACAGACCACAAACTGAACAGCTGAATCATCATTTCACTGCTTCAGTCCAGATTTAAGATTGGTATGATTCCAGCCTCACCCATGCCTTGGCCGACCCCTTAGTGCCGAACACTGTCAATCAAGGCGTTACAAACATGCCCATCTAGAGCTTAATGAAAAAATGAAAGAGCATGCTTTTGACAGTTTTGGATGTTCCCTCTTCAGCCCTTTAACAGCCAGTCATTTTGAGCGGAAGGTGACAACTTATGTTCTTAAGTGCCAGTCCACCAAGTGGTCAGCAGAACTCATCTGAGTGAATCAAAAGACTCCCTACCACTGTAGATTACTTCACCTAGCAGCCCCCTGCTTGTGTCTAAGAAGCTCACACACCAAGGATGGGGGGAGGGGGGGGAGGGGGAGGAAGAAGCTGCCAGAAGTAAAAAAACACTTACCTGTACTCTAGAAAAGGGTTCAATGACTCGGATCAGATTTTGTTCCAATAAGTTATCATAGAGTTTAGCCAAATGAGTGTTGATGATGGGGTCGTCCCTGAGCTCCACCTTATAATCGGTCAGAGCCTACAGAAGACATGTGGGGAACAAATAATTAGGCTGGGAGATGATAGTGAAGACGGGAGACCTGTTGGGCCAAATCCAACCACCTGTCAGGGCAGACTATAGCCTCCCTCAGATGTTAAACTGCTACTATGCATTACTTTAGCCAGACCCTCAGTATCTGGCACCTCAGCCTACTGATTTTCAAGCACCTTGCTGATTAGTATCTTTCTTCACATTCTTTAGAATGATGTGACCCAGAGGCTTAGGTAAGCAAATGCATTTGTTCTCCTCTTTGAGAGGTTTGGCATAACAGGGTAGCTTCCCGTCCCTGCCTCTTCTCCCCTCAACTTGTGTTTCTTCCTGAAGAATCTTTAAAAAGGCTTCAGTCCAGGAAGATCAATTTTTTTTAAAAAAGCAATGGAAGTATCCAAATGGGAAATCATTTCAAATGAATGAAAATCTGAGCAGCCAGTGGATTTCTTCAGGCTTACAAGAAAGGAATATTTTATGCAGGAATGAGGAGAATGAAGAAAGGAAGGGGATACTAGCCACAGAATTTACTCCTGGGGGATTTCTTCCCCACTGTGCAAGTGCAAAATTAATACCCCCTGCAGATTTTACTTTCTCCATGCAGAAAAATGGATTCATGCACCCTTCCCAGGCAGTGGGGGTGGGAGAAAGGGGGTAAGATAATATCTGGTTAGGGCATCAGGAGCAGCCGGGGGCGATGTAAATCACCACCTCAGGGGGCAGGGCTGGTGTGACACTCTCCCTCTCATGGTGCTTCTGGAGCTGGGGACACCCTGACAGGTAGCTCCTACTGTGCACCGGGCTCCAGCTGCAAGTCCCGGCCAGCTGGACAGGCGGGGGCAAGACGACAACTTCCTCTTAACCTGCACAGGCCGCTCCCAGGGCTGGGTCAGACCCACCCCAGGGAACCTCCCCCAGTTTCAGGAAACTCAGTACCCCCACCCTGCTTCCTGCCCCCATCACTCCCCAGCTGCAGCAGGAGGAGTCACTGTGGGGGAGCTGCCCCCATCTGCCCAACCCCCCACGTACCCAGACCTGCCCCGCTGAGCCATACACTCTGCATCTGGACCCCCCCCTGCACCCAGACTCCCCTGCCAACCCCCACTCTTGCAGCCAGACCACCCCCTGCTGAGCCCCCCGCACTCAAACCCTCACCCCGTCAAGCTCCACCCCACCGAACCCCGCACCTGGACCCACACCCCACTGAGCCGCAACCAGCTACACCCAGACCCCTCCACCCCATGGACCTCCTTGCTGAGTCCCCTGCACCCAGACCCCATGCTGAGCCCCATCCCCCCCCCAACTCAAAGCCCTCTGCTGAGCCCCAACCACTTTCACCTGGATCGCCTGCCCACCCCCAGAGTCCCATCTTCCCAATGAACCCTCCGATAAGGCCAGTGGTGAGCTGGAGCCGGTTCGCAAGAACCAGTTGTTAAATTTAGAAGCCAGCGTAGAACCGGTTATAAAGGGGCCGGCAGGTGGGCAAACTCCGGCCCGCAGGACCGTCCTCTCCGGCCCACCTGAGCTCCCAACTGGGGAGGCTTCCCCGCTCCCATTCCTGCAGAGCCCTAGCGCGCCGCACCGCCAGCGCTCTGGGCAGCTCCTGCCGCTTTGAGCGGCATAGTAAGGGGGCCGGGGCTGGAATGAGGGGATGGATAAGGGGCAGGGAGCGGTTGGAGGGGGCGGAGGTTCTGGGGGTGGGGGTGGTCAGTGGGTGGGGGGGGGGGGGGTTGTCTAGGCGTGGGAGTTCCAGGGGTCTGTCGGGGTGGTGGTGGATGGGGTCGGGGCAGTCAGGGGACAGGGAGCGGGGCAAATTGGATGGGGGTGGTCAGGGGACAAGGAGCGGGGGGTTGATGGGTTGCGGATTCTGAGGGGGCAGTAAGTGGGTTGGGAGGGAGATAGGCACATGGGGCTTCTACTCACCGTGTGGTTCCCTACCAGGTCTTCGGCAGCACTTTGGGGTGTGTGTGGGTGTGTCTTCACTTGCTCCGGGTAAAGGACCCGTCGCTGAAATCCCGGAGCAAGTGGAGGTCCCTCCCCCTCCCCGCCATGCCGCCGAGGACCTGGTTATTAGGATTTTGGGAGCTCATCACTGGAGAAGGCCCTGTGCATCCAAATCTGCCCTCCCCCGCCACCACATCCGGACTCCCCACAGAACCACCCAGACTGCCCCACACAGACCCCTCTCACCCCACACCTTGATCCCCCACACACTAAGCCCCTCCACACCTGGATCCTGCTGGGCTGAGCCTGCTTGCCCCACCCCTGGATTGGGGGGCAGGGTTGGGCATGCAAGATTCTGTCCCTCTCGCTTGCTGTGGACCCATATAGATATGTCTACTAAGGAATCTATTTGTCAAAAAAAATCCTGAATCTTTTGTCGTCTGTGTTGTTATTCACATACTTGCTGACAGGTATTTTAAAATAAATTACCAAAATAATTGAAAATTGTGTGATTATATTGTGTTATTTTGACACAAAATATGCAAAATTTTGCAGAGTTTTAAAACATTGTGCACAGAATTTTGAATTTTTAGCAAAGAATTCCCTGAGGAGTAAAAAGTAGCCTTTTTAGAGTACTTGTGACTTGAGTCTGTAGGCTTCAGCCTAATCCCTGGTGAATACAAGTTCTCATCTTCCATAATTTAGTAGCTCCCTGGTCAGAAAAGACCAACTACATGAATAGCAGCAGGGTCCTGATGGTCACAGTTAAGCTGGACCTCTCTTGGCTGGAGAAGGGGACAAGTTTACAGAGCACCAGGACCACTGCTCTGTCCCTCAGCATAGGAATTTGCTCTGTTCTGCTCTAATGTGGTCATTTGTCAAGTTTCACCTCTGCGGGTAATTCTTGAGAATTTTGCATTATTCAGTGTTTCCAACTTTCCTCCCTTTTCATATTAATAGCAAATGGTTTGTTAAGAGTATTCAGGCTTCAAACTTCGTGTTGTTATGCAAATCATGTGGTACTGAGCCAGAACAGCACAAACGCTACAATCAACTAAGCAATTTAAAATGGTCTTTCAGTAAATATTCCAGCTTCAATTTCTTCTCACAAGTTAGTGCTAGAAGAACTAGACCACTTAATTGTTCACGGAAAGCAAATATGGTCAAAATGAAGTTAGTTTTCAAACTCAAGCAAATACCACAAGAACATTCTTTCTGCTATAGCTTGGCTCCATCGTGAGCACTAAAACTTCCGTGTTTTCACAGTCCTTTGCAACCTCTTCCCATCTGGAGTCTTCCTGCTCACTTACCTTTTCAAAGTCTGCCAGCGATCGATTCTTACTGGCCTGTGCCACACGCTTTAGAGCTTCTGTCTGCAAAGAGAAAATGGAGCAAGTGTTAGTATTTGGGGGTGTCCAGAAAAACGTTCTGCCAGCTGAATGGAGCACAGAGAAAGTTCTTAACTACAAAAAGGGGGAATGTTCCCTTTGCAACAAAGTCTCATGTCTGTTTAATTCCATATACACAGAACAAGAACATCAGCTGACCACAGAGGAAGGAAAAAAACCCAACAGTTGCAGGTCACCTAGTATCACAACAGCTTCATGCTAACAAAGAATTGGAGTTCTGTAATGTTTGAGAGCTGCAGCAGAAGGATGCAGTTCCTGCCAAGGTTGAACACAGGGAGCAACTTCAGTTGCAGTTCTGCAACTTGCACATTTCAGTACTGCCTTCAAAAGTGCAAATTTAGGTATTTTAAGCCAGTTAAATCACATTTCACACCTCAGTTACGTGGTCTCAGGTTGGGGGGGGGGGAGGGGAGTCAGTAGACATACTAGTGACATGGGCTGTATGACAGGAAGCACTTCCTGAATGAGAGAGAATTTTTTGTGTCTCATCTTCCTAGTAACTGTAGGAAAGAAGAACTGTAGACAGAAACATTACCCTGCATGTTAGAGTTGAGGATCAGTACTAATAAAGAACTAAAATGGCTCTAGTAAAGATATGCTAGGCCTGGCATATTGCAAGGATTCAGACTTTCAAATCACCCCATCATGATTAACAATGTGCTTTGCTCCCTCCCAATCCCACTTAATTGAGAACATTTCAGCAGACTCTCCCAAACAAACGGATAATATATACTGTGGGGAAGCTGGAAACATTACTTTTCAAGTTAATCAGCATTACTCAGACAGCGTAGCTGCATTAGAAAGGAAGTGTAGTCTAGTGGTTAGGGCACTGGTTGGAAGTCAGGGGACATGGGGTTGTGTTCTCACATCTTCTGCTAACTTAGTGTGCAGCCTTGCGCAATTAATTTTCCCATCTATTAAATGGGGATAACACCCCCGGGGGTCAGGAAGTAATATTTGAAGTGCTCAGATACCATGATTGCGTTTGGGGTTTTTTTTTTTGCAGGGGGGTGGAGAGACAACCAATAGGAGTATCCAGCAGTATCTTATGCAATAGAACACTGAAGTCCTTAAATCATGGTTTAAAGACTTCAAGGTGGAGAGAATCCTCCAGCAAGCAACCCATGCCCCACGCTGCAGAGGAAAGTGAAAAACCCCCAGGGCCTCTGCCAATCTGCCCTGGAGGAAAATTCCTTCCCGACTCCAAATATGGCGATCAGCTAAACCCTGAGCATGTGGGTAAGTCTCACCAGCCAGACGCCCAGGAAAGAAATCTCTGTAGTGACTCCGATCCCACCCCCTCTAACATCCCATCACAGGCCACTGGGCATATTTACTGCTAATAGTCAAAGATCAATTAATGAAGGAAGATTGAAAGGCTGAGAGAGTTTTCTATACCTGTCTTCCTGCATACCGCAGAGCAAGCTTCCCACTCACTAATGCCTGCACATCCTCTGGGCTGGAGAGAGAAGGGAAGGAAAAGAGCATTTACTCAACAAGCTTCACTGTGGTTCTAAATACAGGTATTAACCGTTACTTTTTCCAACTGAGCCACAAACTTCCTGACTTTCTCATGCCTCCAAATGAAAATCATCTCGCTCAGGTTTTCCATTATAAAACTAAAATGTCTTGAACTTAATTTCTAATAAGAACCTGGGCATTCCCAGGAGACACGAGATTACAAGGCTCAAAAATTAAAAAAACAGAAGCTCTGAATTAGTTAAAAAAAAAAAAAAGAAAGAAGAAGAAGGCAGCACTGGCTGAGTGTGGTTGCTTCAGTTGTGTGGTTAGCTATGAGACTGGAATAGGCAATTCCTTTCCTGCTCCAATATAAGTGTTCTTCCCACAACCTATGTGCCACCTACGTGTTGAGCATGATTTTGCACAGCAACATGTATTTCAATGCAGTGATGGCTTTTGGGCTGTCAATTGAATCATATCCCTCAAATGCCTCATAAAAATAGGAGTAGGCTGTTTTCCAGTCCTTTTCTTCTGCTGCATGGATAATACCTGTTGAGAGAGGGGAAAACAGGCAGAAGTCAAACTCAGTTCTGCATTCAGCTGGAGGCAGATGAAAATGTGGCTGCTTAACACTGCATGTTGCACTTTACTGCAAGGGATACTTTTCCTTTAAACTTACTTATTCCTGAAGTCTCTAAACCCTAGTTCTCTCTTCCAAGTAGAGCAAACTCAGAAAAACCCGCACAAAAGTTGTGGCTCTAGCAAGATAAAACAAGCAATAAAGTGCTGAAACATGTTGCACCTCCTCGGTCTGTTTAGATAATGTCTACAGTACTAGCTTCTCCAAAGGATATACATTAGAAGTGTTATGGGACCACTGGAACTGCAGGTTGAAGGCATCTTCGCAAGCTCATTAGTACAAATGACTTAATCAGTTTTGCCTGGTCAGACAGAGGTTGTGAGCAACTGAACTGCTGCATGAATTTACACCAGACTAAATAGGGAAATCTGCAGCTGCAACAAATGGCTGTTTGCTTTTCCCTGAATAGCAGCAGAGCTAGGGCTTTCACTGTTGCCAACTTGTGAGATTTTATTATGAATCTCACGATATTCTGTGTTTGACTTAAAGTTCCAGCTCCCGAAGTCAAGTGAGTACATGACATTCTAACCTTTCATTTAAAGAGTTTATAGGCCTTATGGCTGCAGAGGAAAGCTTGAAAATATGACCCAAGTGCACCCAGGAGGCTTAAGAGCCAGAAGGCAAAGAAAAACCCCACAATTTATTTTTAAACCACTCATTTTGGGGTTTGATGTGTATGCAGTGTTGCCGCTCTCAAAAACATCACAGCAATGAAAGTGGTTTAAGAAAGCATGAGTCTCCACGTACAAACCGAGGCGATCAGAGGATTGAGGAATTGTTATCTAGATCAGTTGTGAGCACCTCAAATTTTTACAAACTTGATCACATTGACAGCATTTCAATTGTGGTAACATGAAGTACCACAGCTGTCACTTCAGACAGAGAAGCCAGATCACAGTCCGCTGATGCTGGACCCCCCTTCTCTCGAAGGGCTTTACCTGACTGCATGTCCAGTGCTGCCTGCAGTTTGGGTGGGCAGTAGATTGCATTGGCTGTAGTTCGTGCAGAGGTTAAAGCTGCTCTTGCTTTTGGCAGATTGCTCAGGGCATGGTATGTCTTGCTTTCTAATAGCTGCACTTCAACCAAGAGAGCCTTGTCATCCATCTTTTTCAACTCCCGCAGGAGCTGAGATCCTGGCAAGAGACATGAACAACAGCATTTGTAACTTGCTCCAAACAGCTCTTTGATCAGTGGGAGCAAATCAAGATCACTGTGGACAACAGCTCCTTCCCCAAAGTAATGCTGCTTTTCAGACATGCATTCAGTGCCTGGAAGAGTCCACGGTGCTCATGCCCATGTTCTGTGGTTCTAAGAAAAAAAAAAATGAAGGACGGGAAGCATAACAGTTCAGTCTGGATCCAGAGTACAGTAGTCTTGGATCAAAGTGGGATATGACAGAACTAGGGACAGGAGACCAGTTATTAAGATGGAAGATTTGATACAGCACTGAGAATGTAACGTCTTTGGGTCCCTACTAGACTGGTCAAAGTGTCCTGTACACAACAGAACTCATCATTTCCCATATCAGCCTCATTTTTAATTTGGAAGCAGTGAACTATTGCCACCTGGTGGCAACTTACCTAGCTGCAATGCCTCTTGGTATCTCTTTGTATCGAAGTACAAAGACACCAGCCTTGCCTGGAGAAGAGAAAAAGAATCGCTGTGAGGAAAGTCAGAGAAAGGTAACATATTTTGCAAAATGAAACTTGGTATTCTCATTAATTTGCACTTATTGGCTATGTTAGTGTTCTGCTTTGTACTGTAATTCCAAATACTGTCTGGAAGCTCTGCTGGATCTAAACAACTGGGGAAAATACTCTCCCACCAAGAAAAATCTCTGTCCAAGTTTCCCCATAAAGGGCAAGAAATCTTAGAATAATCATGTTGTCCTGTCATTTGCACAGTTCTTGGGAACATAAAAAAAATCTCTGCATTTACAAACACTGTCAAGTGGAAAATACAACCATATACTTTGTATCCATACACACATATCTTACCTCTAGAGCCTGGCGTAGGAAAGTCCTCTTCTCTGATTTGGCCCATTCAATACACTCTAAGCACAGGTCGACCTTAGGGGGAACAAAAAAGAAATTTTTAAAACCCTCTTCTTCCATTCTCTTTGTTACAGGAAGATCATCCAACCTAAACAACTCAATCACTGTTCTATACACTGCAGTGACAAGCAAAATAAAATGGAAAAAAGTTGGTGTTGATTTCAACAGCAGTTAGCCTATAAGGCGAATCTTACCATATAGGTCCAAAGGCCTGTGCTAAATACCAAGTTATCTGTTACAGACTAATACTAACCTTACTGAAATGAGGCGCGGGTTTAAGTCAATGACCTCAGAAGCCGAGATTTCACAGTACAGTCAATTATGACATACTTATCCTGTACGTTTCAATCAGCCTTGACCTTGGGATCATATACAGCCAAAACATAGCCTCACATTAGGTACAACTTAATGCACACATCTCCACCTCAAGGGTATTAAACTTGTGTGACTTCTGTAAAATGAAACTGTAGCAGGAACCAAGCAGAAGGCATGCATTTATCATAGAATATCAGGGTTAGAAGGGACCTCAGGAGGTCATCTAGTCCAACCCCCTGCTCAAAGCAGGACCAATCCCCAACTAAATCATGCCAGCCAGGGCTCACTCAAGCCTGACCTTAAAAACCTCTAAGGAAGGAGATTCCACCACCTCCCTAGGTAACCCATTCCACTGCTTCACCACCCTACAGTGAAAAAGTTCTTCCTAATATCCAACCTAAACCTCCCCGAATGCAACTTGACACCATTACTCCTTGTTCTGTCATCTGGTACCACTGAAAACAGTCTAGATCCATCCTCTTTGGAACCCCCTTTCAGGTAGTTGAAAGCAGCTATCAAATCCCCCCTCATTCTTCTCCTCTGAAGACTAAATAATGCCAGTTCCCTCAGCCTCTCCTCATAAATCATGTGCTCCAGCCCCCTAATCATTTTTGTTGCCCTCCGCTGGACTCTTTCCAATTTTTCCACATCCTTCTTGTAGTATGGGGCCCAAAACTGGACACAGTACTCCAGATGAGGCCTCACCAATGCCGAATAGAGGGGAATGATCACGTCCCTTGATCTGCTGGCAATGCCCCTACTTATACAGCCCAAAATGCCATTAGCCTTCTCGGCAACAAGAGCACACCGTTGACTCATTCAGCTTCTCATCCATTGTAAGCACTAGGTCCTTTTCTGCAGAACTGCTGCCTAGCCCTTCGATCCCTAGTCTGTAGCAGTGCATGGGATTCTTCCATCCTAAGTGCAGGACTCTGCATTTGTCCTTGTTGAACCTCAGATTTCTTTTGGCCCAATCCTCTAATTTGTTTAGGTCTAATTTGTCTAGATGTTATAACCTCATGGGAATGTTACAAGAATTGAGATAAAAGGGCTACATTTAGAATATAAACTACTTATTATCACTAATTTACCTCGTGTCATGATTGCTAATCACTGTCTGCTACTGTATATTACATGTATTTCAAAAAGAACCCAGAGGATAAGAGTTTCTCTAGCATAAGCCTTTTGTAGCCTCAACATGACCACACCTAGGGTGACCAGATGTCCCGATTTTATAGGGACAGTACCGATTTTGGGGTCTTTCTTATATAGGCTCCTATTCCCCCCCATCCCCGGCCCGATTTTTCACATTTGCTGTCTGGTCACCCTAACTACACCAGAAGTGAAACGTGACATCTCTGCTGCAATAGTGGAGGTTTCTCCTAGTGAGAGCAAAATGCACTTGTTCCCACAGGTAAGCCCACTGCTGCAAAAGGCACAGTTGAGGTGTTTTTCCTTTAAAATCATTATTTTAGACTCTAATTATATTGATTCAAACAAAATTTGAAGACACAAAACAACAGCCAGACAACTGCTGAGGTGTCATCCTGTTTGTAAGACAAATGAAGAGGAACTCCCCATGGTCTGTGTTGCCACAGACGGAGCAGAAAATTAAGCATCTAGATCTTATGGTTATGAAGAAAATCCCAAGTGTTAACATCTCTTCCTGGCTCCAATGCTATTACTCTTGCTCCTAGTTCTCTCGGAAAGCTGTAGCATGAAATCAAGACTACTCTGGGCAGTTTCAGCTCTGCTATTCAGGAGCAGCTGTGAAACTGACAAGAATAGTGTCCTATCTGCTGCTTGAGAAAGCTATGATCAGCAGCAGAGACAGGTCTGGGAGATATTCAGGAGCAAGGATCAGTTACAAATGGAAACTAAAGGAGGGCAGAAGCCACCTCAGCAGGCAATAGGCTCTGGCACATGAGAAAGCAAGCTCTGTTTTCCAACAGCCCAGTTTAATCCTACACAGCGAGAGCCAGCGGCTGAGACAAAGGATGGTGCCCTGAGCAGTATCCAAGGCCAGCAATCCCTGCCCTTCGTATCAATTGGGAACTGGGTCACTGGGTTTCTCACTGAGGTGTTGCCACAGGCCATTGCTAATAGTGCCCCAAATTATATGGGCCTCTGGCTTGTAGAAGTCTGAAGTTTTTCAATCCCTTAATTATATGAGTTACCCAAGACCAGAGGAGGATGAAGTACCAGAGCCAGAACTTTAACTCAAAAATCACTTTCCCCCCAAGAATCCCTGCCAAATTAGCTCTGGAGCAGCAATGCAGCTACCATATCCCATCCAAGAGGTGGTAGAGTTTCTGTAGTTCTGAAATGATCTCTACAGTACACTAATACTTCAGAATTCTCTACATTTCCTTCCATCCAAGAGTACTTCATAAACATTAAACCTTTCAACATCCCTATTCAGAGAGAAAGGAAGCAGAGGCAGAGAAGTGACATTTTGTCAGTCACACAAGTATGTAGAGGTGCTGGGAACAGAATCTAGATTTCTTGACTCCCTGTCCTGATCTCTAAGATGACTATGCAACTGGCATCATAGGGTTTCATTTCTCCATGCTTCCCTATCAAGCATATTTGGCTTATAAATACTTTTCTAACTGCTAATCATACAGACTCTATCATCCTGGGGTCAAACAGTGTGGTTCTTCTGGCTTGCAAAGAATCACCAATAAAATACTTTTACTGTTGGAGTCCCGGTGGTATTCTTCCCTATACCAAGCTATTTTGTGGCTTGCCTCCCGACAATGCCTAACCTCTAGGCTTGGCAGTTCATAGCCCCGGCACCTCTGGGCTTGGCAGTTCATCGCCCCGGCACCTCTGGGCTTGGCAGTTCATCGCCCCGGCACCTCTGGGCTTGCTGCTTTAGTTATGAAAGTAAAAAAAACTGCTTGAGCCCCGGCACCTAATTGCCTCTGCCCTGGCACCTCTTTCATTACAAATTAAGCACTGGCTCCCGAGTATGTCTGGAGCGGACTATTTTGACTGAACTAGGTGACATCTCCCAGGCATTACTCGGAGATGCGGCTACAGTACTGTGCTAGCTTCATCAGCAGAGTCATGTCTGCCTCTCACTGTGTCCTTCTTTCCGGACTGATTTCTCCAACTACTTGAACATGTACTAGTCTTTCCATAAAAGTTGCTCAGATTTTTCCCAGTCCCCCTCATTCTCACTTCCTACCCCACACCAGCAGAAAGCATCAGCTATACCAAAATCTACAGTCAACCCAGTTTGAGGATACTCAGAAGCTGGTTGCACACACCTCCTAAAACAGCCTGAATTAACCACTTGGCCCAAGAAACCCAGCCTGGGGAGCTAAGGCAAATGGGATGAAACTTAACCAAAGGCTTAATTTAGACTGAATGTTGTGAAACCTTTCCTAGTGGTGAGATCTATTTGGCTGAGATAGTCTCCTCAGGGAAAAGATGAAAGCTACATTAAACAGAGATTGACTATGCTTGATGGAGTCATCCATGGATTAGAGAAGGAAACAAAGGCAGGACTCCTGGGCTCCATTCCTTGCTCTGCCACTATGGGCAAATCACTGTGCCTCAATTGAGCAATCTGTAGTATGGAGTAATACTTGCCTGAAAGAGGTGTTGCGATATGGGGTGCTTTGAGATCATACGCTGAAAGATGGTAAGTAATATACACCAAGCTCCATCCACCTTCTTAAAACTTTTATAAAACCCAATTATTCTATAAACCATTCCAGGCACTCACCACTCTGGTCATGTCTTGTGACATATTGCGCCTACAGACTGAGCTCTTTGGAGCAGGTATACTGCACCTCATGAAGCATTCTGCACCCTGATCACACTATATAAAATTACTAAAACTGTACATTTAATAGCAGGCAACATGATTCTCAGAAGTTTAGATAGTCCAGGCTAAGAATTACTTCATTCCTAGCATATTGAGGCATCTAGAAAATCAAGTAATTTCTTTCAGTTACATAATTACGCCTGAATTAGATTTAGAGTAGCCAATATTTTATTACATAGTGAGCATGTCCTGTGACAATACAAATAATTCTTCGCTGGACAGCAGAACAAGTCAGCTGACAGTGCTGTAAAAGCCTTTGAGCTCCTGTCTGAATTCAAGGGGTCTCACCTCCTGTCCTGTAGCTGCCTCCATATCGAGGAACAGATCAAGGAGAGATCGGACTAAACGGGCTGCCTTTGCTTTGCTGATGGAATTCAAGAAGGGTCGAACATACTTCAGAAGTCCTCCAAGTTCTGTATTCAGGACAAACGAGCCATGAAAGAACAACATTTGGGCATTCAAACTACAAGACACACAATAGTTTAACGTTATATTGCAATCTGGGTCTACACACAGCAATATTTATTATACCAATGCTTGAAAAAAGTATATCCTTCCTGTAAGTCAGTGGTAAAGGATTCCCAAGGAAGAGTGTATAGTAGTTACATCAGAGACTTCTGGGTTCTATTAATGGCTCTGATGCGGACTGATTATGGGACCTCTGGTAAACCACTCAATTGGCCTATTTATAAAAGCATATAACAATACTTACCTCAAGTGTGTTTTAAGACTCTTAATATTTGAGAAGTGCTTTGAGATTTTTGGATAAGAGGGGCAATGGAGTTTGTAATGCAAGTGTATTCTTTGCCTGCTCTTGTTTAATAATTTAATGTACCTCCCTCACCCATCTTCACAAGAGACAGGTCAGATTCACAGTATATATACATTCAACAGAAAGAATAGTTATGAACGTGAAATTTTACATACATTTTCCATCATGTGCATTATTTTAGATCTTAACTTATTTTCCAGTAAACTCATTTTCTGCTCTGCTTATTAGTTTCTCTCTTAATTTACACGAATGTAGTGCATCTCAACTTAGTGTCGTGAAGCCCCAACAGATATGGGCTATACAATCCAGATCACCTAATCCTACACTGGGATGGAATGTGACAGCCAGAGCATTCAATGCTGCACAAAACACCACATCAGTTTAGGAAAGGAAGAGAAGATGTATCCAACTGAACTACCTGGAGGATTTAGGAAGGCAGAGCCATTAGAATTTTGCCAGGACTCAGAGTTAATAGCTCTGCTCTTGTGATAATCACAATGGGATCTATAGTGACAAGTTGTCCTGGTGTCTGATTACATTCCATCTGAAAGATGACATTTCCAGCAGCACAGCCCCCCCTAGCAGAATGCTACGGCATTGGCTCAACTCTCAAGGAAGTGTGTCCTTATTTCCTGCACAATCTTAAATCTCCCATCAGGTACTGACCACACCCAACACTGCTTAGTTTACACAATCTGACAGGGCGACAGTACAAAATGGCACAGCTATGGACTATCAATAGTACACTACGATTGCACAATTTGTTTAAGATACCAGATAATCACTTTACAATTCTTAATTCTTACTTTAAACCAAAAAAGGAGAAAACTGAAATCCAAGAATTGGATAAAGGTTTGTTTTTTTAATCTCTTTATTGAAATTACTAGACAAAGTGCATTAAGTTCTTGTTGCTTCCCATACATTTCAGTTTTTCTGGGAGTCCAATAAAGATAGTCAAGAAACAATATTCTTTAATACTGTATGTATTACTATATTTTGTGTTATTGCATAAAAATTCTCCCAGCTCTACAAGAATGTGTAGATTGTTTCCTCATACTTTTGGAGGAGTTCACATTTGTTTATTTTTAAACCCTTAAATCAATAATTACATCACAAACCAGATTAACATATTGAATTCTATCCCATGCTTAATTTAAAAGTATTCTATCCCACTTGGTAAAGGTGGTGTGTTACCATTTCCATGCATGGGAAGCAGATCATTTTAGCACAAATGAAGCCTATTAATCTTAAGTGTCTCTTCAAGTTCAATGCGAGCTGGTTTGTTTCTTGTAATGATACTTGGGCACCACAAGTCATGAGTATGTTCACAACGCACTGCTAGGATTGACATGGGGAGCATGACAAAGCAGCAGTTAATCTCATAATCTGCCTGAGATCACTTTCCGCAAGATCCTTCCAATTTAGGAGTTATTACTGACTGAATTTCTCCTATGTTTGAATCTACAGTGACCAGGAATTTTCATTAGTGTCCTGGCCTTTTCATAAAACAAATAATGTTATTGCTACTTCACAGGCCAGCAGTGGAAGTAACAAGAGATAACAGCTTTAACGGACCATGATTTTGGTGGCATTCATTCTTAAAAGACTCATTCCACTGAAAGCTCCTAAACTTAATAAGCCACCTAAAAGAGGTAAAAGTACTTGTCATTATAGGGAGAAGGCAAAGATCTCTCTTCAATGGCTTGTCTCATAACGAATGCAACCCATCACAATAGCAATAAACTGACAATGGCCTTTTCTCCCAGTGCCACAACAAATAAGAAGTTTGCCAGATATAGAATAAAACCTCTAACATAATCTTCCCTCCTGCAGTTAAAAGGGCTGCCTCTGGATCTGCCCGTTGGATTTAGGAGGAAGGGAGCACATAGGCTGAAGTGACACAGCAGATGCAATGATGGCATGAAGACACTAGTGTTTTCCCACTGAACATATCAGGCAAGGCTCATTTCCCTCCAGACATGATCCTGCCTGCTTAGCTTTGGGTCATATGACTAAGTTAGCTAGTAATTTCTTGTCTTCTTAAGCCCCCCCCTTCAAAATCCATCAGTTTCTCAAATAACACAAGGCACTACCTCATCTCCTGGGCACAATGCCTCTGCAGCATCCCCTGCTGGTCAGGACCAACTCAAACCTAGGTCAGCTGCATAAAGATGCAGAATGCTAATAGGCCAAAATTCCTAAAAAAACAGGATTTTCAGGTTAAACATTCAATGAACATAAATATTGCACCTGATTTAAACAGCCTTGCTCAACCCCGCCTGGTAATTCATCAAGTTTTATTTCACTAGAGATCTGATTCAAAAGGAGGCCTAAAATGTTGAGTCACTGGGAGCAAGACAATAAAATCCATACATTTTACTAACTTGTGGCGGAGGGATTATAAATTCATGCCAAGTAGCTGCAAATTCCAACAGAAATTTCTTTCCCCTTGGAATTACTGCTAACAGGTTTTAGTACTTTCTAAGTAAGTGTAGTGTTGGTAAGGAGGGAGTGACTGACAGCCCTAGACAACTGGTGAACAGCAGCCATGAAGTATTAAGTCTGCTGCTCCGTGACAGGAAAAAGGCAATCACACACTACAGTGCCATTCACCAAATCCCTGACCTGAGGGAACAATGACAATCCTATGGTGATGAGCAACAGTACAAGATTGGATTGATGAAGGGGTAAGTTAGTCCCTATGCCAGTTTATTTCTTAGCCTCTCCCAAGACAGATGACAATGGGTCAACTGCAGCAATGCTTTTTGTAACAAGAACATTCGTCCATTAGCAAGAGACTATCAATTTATTTCATGTTAACAGCAGTTTAGTGGCATGAGCGCCCGTTCTAACTTTCAAGCCCTACCAAATCAGGCTTTATCTTCCTTTCCTAAACTATTTTTGAGTCTGTGATCTTAATTTCCTAGAGAAGAAAGGTTCTGTAGATCACCTCACTCCACCCCTAGGATTTTTAATTATTGTCCAGAATTTGCAGGAGACTTCCCACTCGCTAGAACCTATGCTGCAAACTTTGCATAGCATTCCCTACTGTAGTACTGGAGACATTTTGGGTTCTCAGTCAGGAAACTAGGAAGCTTTGATCCTTAAGGGATTTGGGGGAGTCAATCAGTGTGGCTGAAATGCTATAAATCTTTGACTGCAATTTGTTTTGCAGTAGTTATAATTAATTCCCTGTCTGCTTTTAAAATCCTCTTTTCACCAAGGCTTTTGGGAGGACTGAAGAGCAATACCAATGACAAGAGGAAAATTTCTTCTGGAAAATACCAGTAGTAGAGCAAAATTTATAAAATTTAAGCAGTTTCATTCCTGCTGTTTATAACACAATGAAACTGATGAGATTTTTGAAAATTTCACTGTTTTTAGGCAGCAGAACAGAAATGGGGGGGGGGTCAAATTCAGAGGTATAAGTGTAGACCCTTAGACTGCAGGGAGTATTTTGCCCCAGCCTGATGTGAAAGTTAGCGTAACTTATGTCCAAAGGACCTGGAAGAAGGCACAAGAGATGACAATTTAGGATCTAGCCTAAGAGTAATTTACACACACCCTTTCAATTTTGCTATCTTCACACAGCGGATGACAGAAAAATAGCAGCGTCACTTCCACCAGGTTGGGGAGTAGAAAGAGGCATCATCTCTTTCTTCTGACCTCCACCTCCCAGCACAGCCCTGGGAAGCCCAAAAACTTCAGCTTGTCCTGATCCAGGTGCATGCACTAAATGAGCTTCTCTGAGTGCTAGTAAATCCGCTCTTCCTTCCCAATCTTTCAGAGCACCCTTGCTGTAGTACAGGGGTTCTCAAACTGGGGGTCAGGACCCCTCAGGGGATCATGAGGTTATTATGTGGGGGGTCGCGAGTTGTCAGCCTCCCCCCCACCCTGCTTTACATCCAGCATTTATAATGGTGTTAAATATATAAAAGAGTGTTTTTAATTTATAGTGGGGGGGGGGGGTCGCACTCAGAGGCTCGCTCTGTGGAAGGGGTCACCAGTACAAAAGTTTGAGAATCACTGCTGTAGTAGGTTTACTGTTCTCACTAGCGGGCACCTGGTACATAAAATCCTGACTTTCAATCAAGCACCAATTTATAAAATTAGTACTAGTCTCAATTGAGAATGTTTTGGTTTGGTGGTAATCCCGTTAACCAGCCATCCTAGGAGGTCACCCAAAGTGCATTACCTTGTTTGTAAAGTCTCCTGTCTCCAACTTTTAGGACTCAGCAATACCTAGAACAGTTTATTCAATCCTCTCTACAACTAACTCTGCTTTATTTTTAAAAGAGGGAACTAATTTTGTATTGGTGTCATCTTAAGTTACCAGTTCAGAAAGGAACAGTTTCTCTGCATTTAGGGCAACACTGGAAACAATCCACTCTGTCACAAGCTATGTTCAATTGCAAATCAGGATGTGGCAAATGTCTAGAATACCCAGACATAACTAATTTAGTACCAACATATAAACGAAAAAGCCAAAATATGTACTTATTTATGTAAGTGGGGAATCTGACTTTTAGAACAGACCTAAAACTGATCAATTATTATTTAAGACCCCTCAGCACTTTTTAAAGAGACTGCAGTATTGACCAGGACAGCAGAGTTAAACTCTAACTTGGTTAATTACATTCTGTTCACTTACACTTTCCAAACAACTTCAGTTTGTTAAAAAAAAAGATATGTCCTGAATTATGGTTGTATATGGCTAAACTGCTGCCTGGCTACACTACAGCTGCACATCTGCAGCGGATGGAGTGAGCTTTGTCTGAAGTTGGTGTATCAATTTGTGAAGTCCTTTTGGATGAAAAGTGCTCAATAAATGTAAGATCATTATTCTCCACCAAAACCTGCTGAACTTTCACTGTAAGAAGCATGCTATCTTAGAACTTTTCAGGGAAACTAAAGATTGGAATATAACTGAACCAAACAATTACTGATTAGAGACGTTTCACCCATTCCTCTCCTTCCATACATCCCCAAAAGAAAGCCTGTCACATCTTCTCTTATGTAGAGTTGGTTGGGAATTTTCCAACACAGTTTTCCATCAGTAAATGTTCATTTGTCAAAACAATCGCCCAATTCAAAGGCATTTGAAAAATAATTTAAATTCTTGAGGTGTCCCGTTTCAACATTTTCCTCAATGAAAAGTTTTGTTTTTTTATTCAAATCAGCTTTTAATATTGAACTGGTTAATTTATGCTAAGTGTAAGTTTCTTTTTTAAAAAGGCTGAAGTCCTCAGTGTAAAGGGGGAACCGGGGGTGGGGTGAGGAGGGGGCTAGGTGTTTTTTGTTTGTTTGTTTTTTTAAACAAGATTTATTGGTTTGCAAAAATTTCAGATTAACTTCAGAACAGGGAAAAAAAGTTTCCAAATCTCAAAGACTCACGGGATAGAAAGTAGCTCCCTCCACTCCAGCTCTACTCTTATGTTTGCATCTCCCTACAGACCCATCAACTTGTGTGTACATGCATGTTACAAGAACTCCAATGAGTCAGAACTCGGGCTTACCTTCCGCCTGTCCAGTCTTAGCAAGAAGCGCCCCCAGTTCCAGGATGCTCTGCTCTTTAACTTGCACTGCCTCCTCATCATTTTCCTGAACATCACGCTTCACTAGAAGGAAGTGGAACAACACCATTTCAATCAAAACACAGAATCTACATAATTACGTTTTTCACTTCTTTCCAGAAACTAACTAGTGTGTCAGGTAACAGTGGAGTCAATCTGGCTGGAATATTTATTACACAGAAATGTTAAGCACTTAGCTTTAGAAAGCTTAAAACCAGTTATTTATCTAGACTTTAGAAATAGTTGCATCTAGCTGACAAAATTTCTCATGTCCTGACAACAGGTCACATTTCAGATTCATAAAGTGTCAGTAAGACCTCTCTAGCTGTTCACGAAGGACTGTTCTAAAACAAGCATCTATGGTTGCACCATATGGAGTGTTCTAATAAATGACATCTAAATGATGACATCTCAAGCGTAGAACCTGCAAGCTGGGTAAAAAAATAATCCCTTATTGCTTGGTGTTAGGATCCTTGTTTTTACTGGTGTGGTGTGTAATGTTGCAATCACTTGGCCAAAGCTCCACAACAAAAATAAAGCTAAGGCTGTATGAAGCTGTGAAATTAATCTGTTTGCACTTGCATGTCAGATACTGCAGGCATTACAGGCTCTCAGTTGCAAAAGTTGGAGCTCTCTCTCCTCATAAAGGTTTCATACTTTTTGCTACTACTTAGTGCTTTACAAATATTAAATCTCCAACAACTGTGAGACAAGCAAGTATCCCCATCTTAAAAGACGAGGCAACAGAAGAACAGAAACGTGACGAGATTTACTTGACTGAGACTACAGAGCTGGGATTCCTTGCTTCCTTGTCCAGCACTACAGCTGGAATTAGAATTCAGAAGTTCTTAGTTCTCACTCTACGGGACAAGACCTTATGGCCCCCGTAACTTACTATGCTCAGTATCATAAGCAAAGTAATTTTGCTTTCCCCAGCACAGAAGGTCTAATTATAGTAAAAGAAATACCCACTGCCTTAAAAAAAAATAAAGTCTACTATAGCTTGTCACATCTCTCAGTTGATAACAAATGCGATAAAGCACTGGAATGGGTTCCCTAGGGAGGTGGTGGAATCTCCTTCCTTAGAGGTTTTTAAGGTCAGGCTTGACAAAGCCCTGGCTGGGAAAATTTAGTTGGTGTTGGTCCTGCTTTGAGCAAGGGATTGGACTAGATGACCTCCTGAGGTCTCTTCCAACCCTAATTTTCTATGAAATAGTTTGTGGTACCATTAGTTTTGACTAGGACTGACTTGACAAGAAGTCATAGGTATGTTTGACAGACCTGGAAGGTGCCAAGCAGTAATTAACTAGTGTCACATCTCTAGTTAACATCACAGGATAAGCAAGCTTCTCAGGAACCCTAACCCTGAAATCACACCACACAAATGTGTATATTATTTAGTTTACAGTGTGGACCTCATTGTTCGCCCAAGGCCGCCAATGCAATAGCAAGACATATTATATATTTTATTGTATTTCCTCCTACACAATCTCTTTTTTAATATGTAGTTCACCACCTGCAGAATAGCCATCTGAGAGGTCTATTGAGATTATACAGTAGCCAAGGAGACATTTAACTGCCAAACACATAGCACCAGTATTTGTTCAAAGCCCTATCCTCAGAAATAAGTCACCTATTACAAAGAATTCAGAATTACTAATTTGTTTGGCCGTTCATTTCTAGGGCTTCTTCTCTCCCCATCCTATCCCATGATCTACATTACAAATACATTCTGGGGACCTGAATTAAACATGGTTGTCCCCTGACATAACTAGGCCACTGCTCCATTTTGTAGTTTTGGCATGTCCCTGACTCTGCTAAATCCTTGAGACAGTCCCCCACGACAGTTGTAGTTGCAGTTGCAGTGTAGGAAGGTAGCACAAATAAAATGAAGTGGATTCCTGAAACAAAACAAGTTACACTGAAGATTTCTGTAGTACTTCTTCAGCTAGAACCTAGGATTCCAGCTCAACTGTTTTTGTGTATGCACTCAGCATACCAACACTTTCACCTGAGGTTATTTTTGCACTGGGAAACATTCATGTACCCTAAAAGGCAATTCAACTAGCATTACTACTATACAAGAAAAACATACCTCCAGCAGAGCTCCTTAGGCCTTAAGGGTGGCAAACACTAGACAACTAGTGCAGACCTCCCTCTGCTGACCTAACTTACTATAGCACTTACATGCTACAGTGATGGAAACTACTGAAACCCCTAAACAGACTGTATACGTGGATTCTCACTGGATGCTATTGGGATACACTGTTCATGATACTCAGTGTGAAGCAGTGTTCATGGATTTTTCCAATCTGAGAACTGTATAGCTTTCCCAGTTCTACAGTATGCCACCACAGCATGAGCTGCATAGTAACACTGAAGGGGTAAGCTGCTTAAACTAAAAAACTTTCAAGCATGGAGAGATGCAGCGAAACAGTATCTGCTCCCCACCTAAATTCATAAATTAAATTTGCACACTAAGAAAAAAATGCTCTCTAAACCATTAGTGCTTAATCCACAAATTGTATTCTCTCCCCCTACACAGAACCAACTGCAAGTCTGGCCAGCACTTAAAGGCAAGGGCAGTTCTCACCCTGGGTTCAAGTGCCACACACACACACACACACACACACCACTTATATTTCGATTACTCATCAGCTGATGTTGTCATCCTCCTGCCTGCACAATAACCCAATATCTGGCCATACCACCCTCAGTAGATATTCTTGTGCTACAGTCCTGTTAGGGACTAACTACACACAATCAATTGTAGCCTCAGAAGCCTGTTGCACTTCAGAGCACCTTCCTCCAGCAAGCAGTGGGTGGAAGTGACACAGAAACAGACCCCGGGTCACTCTCAACCCCAGATCCCCCAACTGAGATAGCTGCAGAAACCAGACCCACAGACCCCACGCTAGGGAGACAATGTTCTTATGCAAAAGTGATAACAGCAAAACTATGCTCGGTCCCTTCATTCCTCAGCTGAAGGGAACCGGGGAGGGATGGCGCCGTGCCCCGGGGAGAGCGGGCTGACATCAGGGTCACCCTCCAAGTCTCATCCAGACCCGGACAAACAGTGCGAGGGCTCTCCACCACGGGGAGTTGGGGGGTCACCCCCCTCCCTTCCCAGAGCCTCGTTGGCTTGGGGGTGGGGGGAGAAACGCCAGCCCCGGCGGAGCGGAGCGGGGCTGCCCCTTCCTGCCATGGGGCGCCCCCCAGCAGCGGCAGAGATCGGGGCCTCTTTAACCCCCCGCCGCGCCGGGACCCCAGGGCCCGAGCCTGACGCGCTGCCCGGCGGGGCCTCGCGGGACCGGCGCCGGGCGCCCTGGCCCTGCCTCCCGGGCCCAGCGTGAATCAGCAGCTGCAGGGCCCTGGGGCGGCCTCCCCCCGCCCCGCCGCTTCCCCTCCCGCGGGCTGCGGCCTTGCGCCCCCCGGCTCCCACGGTGAGTCAGCAGCCGGCACGGCCGGCTCCCCCGCGCCGCCGCCGGGCCGAGGAGCGCGGGCTGCGGGCCGGCCCCGCCAGCGGCCCCGCGCCGCTCACCTATGGAGTGCAGGATCCCTATGGAGGCCTCGCGGTCGGTGGAGAGCAGGGACTGGGCTCGCTGGAACTCCAACACCGCCGCAGCCGCCATCTTAGCCGCTCGCTCACTCCCTCCTCACGCCGAGGCCGGAAAGAGCCGGCCGGGAGCACCGCCCCTTCCCGCCGCGGGGCATGCCGGGACCTGTAGGCCGTGCACGTGGGGATGGCTGGGCGGGTGGGGCGTGCGGGCCGGCCCGGGGGTCTGATGGGAGAGAGGGGCTCTGTGGGGCGGTAGTATGGGGCCAGGGGAGGGGCTCTGTGGGGCGGTACTATGGGGCCAGGGGAGGGGCTGCATGAGAGGGGCTCTGTGGGCGCTGCTATGGGGTCAGGGGAGGGCTCTGTGGGGCGGTAGTATGGGGACAGGGAAGGGCCGGGTGAGAGGGGTCTGTGGGACGCAGGTATGGGGCTGAGTAACAGGGGCTCTGTGGGGAGCTGATATGGGGCCGGGGCTGGGGCTGGTGAGAGGGGCTCTCTGGGGTGGTAGTATGGGGCTGGGGCCGGGTGAGAGGGGCTCTGTGGGGCTGTGGTATAGGGTCAGGGGAGGGGCTCTGTGGGGCGATACTATGGGGCCAGGGGAGGGGCTCTGTGGGGCGGTACTATGGGGCCAGGGGAGG